AATAGTACAGCTTATAAAATGAGTCAGATCAACGTAGGCCGGTAAGGCAATCACTGATTGGCATGTCCTTTAGCCAACATCTCAACCAACAAATTGGTCCAGTTATCAACGCTATTTTCAAGTTTTGAATAACTCGACTTTCAAGATCTACAGATCTACATGTGCCGATGTTTCCGTATATCAACGTTATATTTTAGGATCTGTGCAAGAACTCAGTTAACATATGTTCCCGCATATAAAAGCTATCTTCAAGTTTGTACACCAAAAACACTTTTCAGGTTTTCATTAACTTTAACACATGCCATAAATCCTAATGCAAACATTTTTTTCGGAATTCATAGTCATGCACGTCTCACAAACGTACTGGATGGTTTAGAGGAAATCTCTGGAGTATGGTTCACAACAATTTCAGCACAATTAATCATGGTAAACCAATCAGATGTTCTATATCTCAAGCATTGCTTGTGGCATGGGTAGATCCTGCAACAACAGTTTCAGTGGTAAACAGCACCTTCAAAACAGTGTCCACTGATGTTATTGGTGGCTATATTTCGGTGTCTCAGAACTTTCTAATCAGTCTGTTAACAACATCAATATTGCAGGTCTTTTGATGGTAAAACTCCGCCAACATAATCTATTTATTCCAAAGTTAACAGTACATTTTTGAGTTCCACTGCTTGTGACGAAATAATAGTTGTCCATGCAATATGTAGATATCACACATTTTGTTCACTTAAAGAATATGTTTAATAATAATAATTTTTTTAATTCCTAGAATATTAGTTTGAAAATTCGTTCCTCCTATCTAAATCTAATCCAAAATTAACCCTATGCGTTACTCTCTGTATCAGGACTCAGTTAAAGCTAGTATTAGTCTCAAATTCAGGCTAGTTTGTTATTATTATGTTTTAATTTACTTTATCTATAGCCTGGAGTTTAATGCAGATATAGTTGGCGAGGTGGTTTGTTTCCCTGGCTTCAAAGCACTTCTGAAGACCTCTCTCTGTTTTGTTTAATGGATATACTAGCAAAACATGAATGTTTGAAACTTGACTTTCTAATAAGATTTAAATTAGAATATATGATAAATCGGGTATATAGATATGTTTACTTTTCAAATATTTCTGTACAAATAAATTCAATGCAAAACAGACAAAGCTACCCAATGGCTGTCTATGCTGTGGCAACAACGGGTATCGAAACCCGGATTTTAGCTTTATAAGTTTCAGAATTGCCGCTGAGCCACTCAAGTGCATTGTTTTTTAGAATAAGAATATTGAACAGTTGTTTCTATTAGTACCAAGATTATATAAGGCAAAAAGGAGCTTTAAGAAGAATTTTCATATCAAGAGAAGTAAAACTTTCATTTAGTATGTTAGTGTTAAACTTCAGGACATAGACTTAACTAAATGAGGGAGATTAAAGCCTTCTCTTTTTTTGAATCCTATCAATTTTATGACCAATTTTCCCAGCATAACAGCACTACTTTGTGCATCTAAAGTTGAATTGAATTTTGGATGAACTAAGAGCTGTGCAAAGCTAATTTCAATCATTAGAATTTGCTTTGGTTAATGCAGCGACACTAGCATACCCGAGAAAAAATATTCCATTTATCCTGGATATATATGCCAGTGGAATTACAGTAGCGTTGTTACAACTGCAGAATAGTGTAGCTTATATTGTAGCATACACATAACGTACATAAATTAAATGTTAACTTTTTCTGGATATTACTGTATGACAAAGAAATAAATGCTTGCAGTCGTAGTATTTGTGAAGAACTTATGCCATATATTTTATGATTTAAGATAGATTATGCATTACATAAATGACTCATTGAGTTAAAGAATACGAAGGTATGACTACACATTGCATAACAACATTGCAGGAGTAAAACTTCACTGAACAACATTGACTGAGCCAGCAGCATTGAAATGCATACCTAATTTCTCACTGGCAGGTGAGAATTTATCTGCCTATGAAATGCCCAGATATTCAACATAATACTCCTACAAAAAGCTAGTCATAATGATAGACCATATGAATAGTGAGAATTTCATTAACGAATTAATACTGAACATCAGAAAACAGAACGTTTTCGAGGGGAATCTAAATGGCCAATATCTAGCTTGAATGTTTCTCGTCAATATGTGAAAATAGCATGGAAGTTTATAACGTCAGTCAGTTGTATGAAATAAGAAGTCTAGGAGGATGTGCTATACTATTATTATAGCCTTGCACAAGTGTGCAGCTAACCATATAATGCATCTAATGTTACCAAAGTCTCTGAAACCAGAGATTATTTACATGACACGACATTAAAATAAAAAAAACAGTGTGCCTTGCATTAATGACTGTGTAATCTTTGTAATGCATGTGTCGCTCAGAGAACAAATAATTTGTACCAGGGAAACCTCTGACAGGAGGTTATAGGTTTTTCATTTCAGAGTATAGCACTTGATATTGCTGAAACTCTCACTACTACTTACAACAGTATAATCGTTACATCCTAGTAGTAATTGGTTATTATAAAAACTGGGATGTAGTTTATGCACTTTTCGATATTTCAGTCCATACAATTGCTGTTCCATTAGCTGACTAACTCTGGAGTACCAGAAACTATCAATGGGCAAAGCCCAACAATTAACTACCTGCCAGGTTGTGCAAAGCACTGAGTGAGGTGAAACTCCCATTTCGTCATTTTATCCTAAATATGAATATTTGAATTGAAAATATTGCCTAAACTAAGAAGCATATGATTTCTAGGTTTAGGAGCTCAGATCAAATTAATTGGAATGATCATCAACTATATGATGACACACTACGTAATAGAGATGAATGGTTCTGGTGACAACATCAATTTGGAAGTAATAAGTATATTTTGGTAAATAAGATGAATACAAAAGAGGGTTCTACCTCTCATGTTATAATTTACCTGGAAGCGTAATGCAGTATATTTGAATTGCAGACTGCTTAAATTTACTAAGTGTCAACAGTTAAGACAGTTAATAATAGTAGCTAAAGAACCACAGATATTAGTGGCTAACTAGCTGTTAATGATAGCTACGACACCTAGAACATCATTAACACTGATAGGGCCTTGAGACCCTTGTTTTTTAAGCTACTCAGTGGGATTCCACTACATCCACTATAGGAAATGTTTAATATTTCGGGAGAGTACATTAGATGTGTATGTAGATTTCATGTTATAGAGAACTCATATTTAGGACTTCGCATATAAACCACCGGTAGGAATATTATAGAGAATGATGGGGAATGTGTTTCCTTATGCATCTAGAAATCTGGGCATATATTTGTAGTGAAGATAGGGTTCCTGAAGAAAAAGGTGCATTTGAAGAACTCATCATATATATATATATATATATATATATAGTGAAGAGAGAATAAAGCAGCAGACGGAGATAGAAATAATACTAAAGAGAATTGTCTACATTGTCATATTGTCCTCCATGATTACATCATTCACTAAATGTGGTTACAATAGAGAAACATACAGAGTAACAATATTTATTATTCTCTTGGAAACTTTTCACCAGAGTGGGAGAAGTGGGTAGTGCTGTCCACTAGCTTAGCTTAACTGTTCATCTTTCTGTCCAACCAACACAAAATAAAATATACTCTTCAATATACTAAAACGTCGATTACATGAAATCCGTATGTGCATGTAGCATGTTTATACTCATCAACGTACAAGTTGGTTAAATAATAAAAGGAAGGAATGAATTACATGATGAAATGTTACCTATGTAAATAGAGAGTGAAAGTTGAACTCGTTAAGCAAGTAGAACACATTTGCCTGCAGGATACAAATGGACTTTCAGTGGCCGCAGAATCATTTTACTTAGGGATCAACAAAGTGAAAAAAGTGGTTGATTTTGAAAACGTTGAACATCGGTAAAGTGGTCAAATATGAGTTTCAACATTTTCTCAAGTTATTGTTCTATGGAAGGTACATAAATATGGCGTTATATGGTACTTTGTCTCGTCCTTTTAGTGGCCTTGTCCAAAGATAGGTATGAAAACAAAACAGAACAAAAACAGGGATTACCCTTGGCAATGTTAAGCCTGCCCTGGAGAACTTGTAATAGTTTTGCTGCTGGAACTTTTAAAATATATATATAAATGTGTACAGGAGCGCATGTATTTTAGAATATCTTGTATTTTTATACTTCTGATTAATGTATATGATTATTTAATTGATTGATGTAACATGTGTAATATAAATGATAATATAGTTTCTTGACATTAACATGACATACAATATATCTAGGTATATTGGCTATGCTCAATGAGTACAAATATTTTCTTTCTTATCTAATGTGTAACTTCAAAATTGCATTTTGAATGGTTAATTTCACATGGAATTGTAAGTCCCAACAAAGTTCCTAGAATTTCGTAATATGAATGATCCATTATAGAAAGAGAGTATAAATTGTGAAAACAATTTTGATATTTTTAAAGATATTTTTTTTTACTTTGGAAGCGTCAAGTAAAGCTGTCGAAGTGAGACATTCTCTCGTTTTATTATCTTAGTTACTTAAAAGAATTAAAACAGTTTTAGCTGGTTTTAAAGTATACTTTCAATTCATTTGAATAAAGCTTTTTTTCACTACAACCAGTTCGTTTACATGACTTCTATCCTTGCATTCCTGCCATTTACCATGACCAACCTTTATTTGTTTCGATTGATATTTCTATTAACGTTCTGGCCCCCCAGTGGCACAGCGGTATGTCTGCGGACTTACAATGCTAGAATCCGGGTTTCGATACCCGTGGTGGGCAGAGCACAGATAGCCCATTGCGTAGCTTTGTGCTTAATTACAAACAAACAAACAAACAGATTAACGCTCTGAATTATTTTTACACTAAATTATATTTGTTTGTGGGTTTCAGAATTCATTCAAAGATACATATAGGCTATCTGTTCATAATGGTCCTTAATTTTGAACTGATAAATTAAAGAAGAATCCGCTAGTTAACAGCATACTCCGCCAACTTTTAGACGAGTTGTGTTTAATCAAATAGTTGGATTTGGCCATCACTCTTACAATGCACTCATGGTTCCAGAGTATGAAGTACGTTTTCGTGCAACTGATTGCGAACCATGAATCATCGGTTTCACAATCTAGGCAAGATAAAGATTAAGCCACACCCAAATCCTATCTCTTTCATTTAACCAAGGACGAATTACTACACTTGATTTTCTGCATACGAGTTCCTCGAATCTATAGTTGTTGTGGTCATCAGATGAGTGTGTGTACTTCTTCTATTGTGAGCTCTTGGAATATCACATCTGTTCTATCCTCTGAATCCTATTTCTTTCATTTAACCAAAGACGAATTACTACTCTTGATTTTCTGCATACGAGTTCCTCGAATCTATAGTTGTTGTGGTCATCAGATGAGTGTGTGTACTTCTTCTATTGTGGGCTCTTGGAATATCACATCTGTTCCATCCTCTGAATCCTATCTCTTTCATTTAACCAAGGACGAATTACTACTCTTGATTTTCTGCATACGAGTTCCTCGAATCTATAGTTGTTGTGGTCATCAGATGAGTGTGTGTACTTCTTCTATTGTGGGCTCTTGGAATATCACATCTGTTCCATCCTCTGAAATATAACTGTCTGCAGAGTTTCTTTCTACCATTTAAAGAACCAGTACAATGTGCTTTCTGTGGCCACGTAGGCAAAATATTTCTCTCGTATGTTACACTTCTTTCTCCTTACAGACTTTTCTCTACACCGATATTAACTTTATAGCCACCCTGTATGTTGTAGACAGGAGAACGTTGTTGATGAGCTAAAAGATTACTGTGTTTGTTTATAAATTGTCCGATATAAGAAAAGCATACCTTGCATATTATTAGTAAAACGTAAATTTGAAATAGTGCTAACATTCAGTTATAAAATACATAAAATTTTAATGTTTAGCTGAGTAAAGAATTTAAGTATTCCAAAACTCAATTAAAGAGGTTAAGCTTTCTGGCAGAGTTCAATAAATTAGTAGCATTAAGACATACTCTTGAGTCTAAAACACATAAGGAAAATTTCTCTAATTAAATTATAATGTATTGAACCCATGGTTTAACACGGCGCTCAAAGTATATCGACACTAACACTAAACTTCATATATTAGTATATTATTTGATGATTAAAGTGGGAAGTTATCATGTTTTATATTGTTTGGCGTCGAGATTGGATTTTAAAAAGAAAATAAAAGTATATTTTAATGGCATTGACAATGATATAACTCAACCCTACTCTTGCTTTTCCATGTCTTACTCATACCAGTAATCTGTGAACTTAAGAAATGTTTATAATAAAGAAATTCGGAGAAATGTTTCCTGTTTTAGGGAGTTAGAGGTGATTTTGGATTCAAAAGTTTACATAAGTGTGAGATTATCATCTTAGTTACAACTTATTTACCAGACAGAAAGTTTAGGCACAAGCGTATAAGCAAAAATACATCAACATTTTGTTTTCGGGAAGGCCTAAAATTTTATATAAATGTAGATATCCTAGTAAAAACGTCTGTTATCTATTTAAATTTCTGAGTTTCAGTTCTTAACAGGTAGCACAGCAACATCCCATTGTCATTTTTTAAGTGTGTGTATGGGTGTACGATTTGTAATTATAACCTTTTCGAAGGAAACTCATACGCAAGTAATAAATGACAAGATTCTAGAATGATCTTTGACATAGCTGATGCAGTCACTCAGTCAACATTTTTTGTAGATTCTAAAAAAATTATAGCTTAATACTGATGGTGAGTGACGTCATGACATGTCACATCAATCTTTTGTGCATGTGAAGTCACTATAAGAGATATATTTTGTCTTAGAGCCGAATTATTCTCAACACTTACTTTTTTATTTATTTCTGAACGATACGATCCATGAAATTACGTTCTCTTCCAGTGGAACCCAGAAATTCGCTATCACTGTGCTGAGGTACCCGTGATACTTTGCGGTTGCCAGAGTGACTTACGGAGTGATATGGGCATTGCTTCAGCTTTAGCAAAGGATAAACAGCATCCAGTCACTTCAGAGCAGGTATCCTTTATTTCAACTATTTTCAGCTATGGAACTGAATCAGGAATACAATACAGAATACTCCTAACTAGATAACTTCAGTAATGTAAACGGTTTGAAATTTTAACAGAGATTTACTTCTTAAGTTTTAAACTGCTAGCTGTAAAATTTAAATTACAAGTTAACGACAAGATAAAGCACATGCTGCTTCTTACAGTTCCTACAGTAATATTTGGTTTCATAATAAATACGCGCACTTAATTTTTCATAAAAAAAATGTTTCGATTATTAGCCACCTTCAGTAGTAGTTTACATTTATATATACTCACGAATACAGAGGTTGGGTATGTTATATTAAAACGGTTTTAACTCATTATGTCGTCAGAATGTAGAATGCCACATCCGGTCATGTTCTCTCTGACGACTATGCATCTTGATAATAACTCTGTGATGTGGTTTCCATTGTAAAAGGCTCGTCGTAACGCTTTCATGTCCAAAGTGCACCCCTCCTCCCTACTGCTTTCCATAATCTGTGGAGTATAAATGGACGATGGTTTCCCAACACTGTTTCAACAGTCCGACTTCAAAGAAATCCATAAGATCTAAACCTTGACTGGTATTTCTTCGTATAAAATAGTATGAATAATATTTCATTCTCCAGTGCTGCAGGCAAACGACGGTTGAACAGATATACATGAAAGCAACTTGTGTACACCTGACTTTTGTCCCTTTTCCAGATGGGAGTCCTTCTTGATTATGTTGTGTACTCTTGTTTGGGACATTTGGACGGTTTTGCCACTAGCATTTGTGTTCATGGATCCTCTTCTGTTGTTACCAGACACCGCACTTTGCTTACCACACTGTGGTACGACTTCTTGCAGGTCTCTTTCTGGGTAGTTGTGGTGCCCCAAGTTGATCCGTATTCCTTTCTTTCCTAATGCCATTAAGTAAAAGAAATATTCCCGTCTTGGAAATTCTAAATCTCGATCTTAAGAAATGTCTATTATCTGAGTGTATTAATATTTTGCATAAGAAAAGACTGTTACATATCCTTCCTGAAACCGATAAATTTTCGGTGGTATTACACTATCTACAAAACGCCAAAAATTGCAGTTCTGGTACATAGATTTCCACTATAACTTTATGTTGGCTGTGGTTGCCACATGACTTACTGATTTCCATATTAAAAATAGCTTTAATATAACTTATTCAACCCATTGTGGACAAATAGAATTTACAAAGGTCCCCATAAAATAATGACTATATGATTATGGTGTTGAGCCCTTAAAATGATTTCTAATTAACTAAATTATCTTGAAGGTCTTAACTTTATTAAGAATCTTAGCATAGTATGTGATGAAGCAACAGAGACGACTTCAAACACTTTCAAGCGAAGATTTAAAAAAAAATTCATTAAGGGTTTCTAGTACATTTTCCAATTGACTTTTAATTTTTGTAAGTCAATTTGTTATGTAAATTATCAATCTTGTTAGAAAATAATGTTTTAAAACACCAACTTTCTTTGAGTGTTTTTGTAACATTATATGACATTTTAGGTATATTCTGCTCTCCTAATATTAGGTGTTTAACAGCGTTCAATTGAAATCTTTATGTTTTAATCTACTTGTTGGATGTCATACTTTAGCTGGCTGCAGGTGAGCATTGATAGTGACCAAATCTTCTTTTGCGGAAAAGAAATATTCGAGATTGAAATGCACTTTTCTCTTTGATTACACAATTTTCCTCCAATACAATTTTCTTTGAAAGGCATCGCCGACATCGTTCAATGATTCACAACGTAATGATATTGCTCGTTAAAAATATGGGAAACTAAATTCAAATTAAACTAATGATACATTTAACCACAAGCAGTTGTATGTGTTTTTTTTTTTCACGCGTTACGATTTTACTCACCCAAATAGAACCCTATATAGTAAAGAGATTAAACTTGACTTTAGTAACGTTAGCAGCCGCAAAAAGAAAATTAACTTCAAATAAATTGAAATCAAGCTTCTGAAACCTCAAAAATAACAAAACAGTGAAAAATAATAACTAGGAAGTACGGTTTGTGTTTCTTGAACACATATAAGAGAAACTCATTAAAATTTTGAATAAAGTAAATAGTCTCTCAAAATCTTTGTTTTCTATACCAATGAACAAATCGCAATAAACTAATCTCTTTTTTAAGATGATATACTTTTGTTTTATTTTTCTGTAGGATAAAATTGTAAATGTATTTGCACAACAGTTTTCCAGAGCATCAGTGGTTTAGGTAAAATAATATACATAGAGATAAAATGATATACTTAGAGATAAAATAATATATTTAAATTGTAAAACATTGTGGAATAAAATTTGATATTCAAATGTCTTAAGATATAAACATGTATCTTTACAGTTTAACTTCTTGAGGGTTTTAAAATAAAGCATTCTTCTATTTTTAGGCTTTGGTAGTGTCCCGACAAGTTGGAGCTGCTACATATGTTGAAACATCTTCAAAGCAAACTGGTAGAAGTTCACAAGATGCCTTCGAGGTGGCAGCACTGGCAGCCTTAGGGAAACTTAATAAAACTCATTCGACCAACCCTCGTCCGTCTGCGAACTATAAGTCTAAAATAGATATAAAAGAAGAATTTCATGACCGGGGTAAAAACTGTGTAGCTATGTAAGTCAAAGAAAATATATATTAACTGTGTCGAAATTTCAAGAAAATCCGTAAGCTGTGTGGCAATCTAATAAAAAAAATAAGGCATCAATCTGTGAATGGTTTGTGATTTGACCAGAAGCGAACCTTATACAAAACAGGGCAAACGTTTTTTGCATAGTTGACTTTCAAATATAAAAGATAAAAAGGTTTCTTAGCCTCTAAACACGTTTAAATTCAAAGAGAAGACTGAAAATAAACTGATTTTAATATTGTAAATATATTTTAATTCAATTTCTTATCCGGTGGGTCAACGGTAAATTTACAGGCTTACAATGTAGAAATCCTGGGTTCGATACCATGCTGTGGACAGAGTGCAAATAACTCGTTGTGTAACTTTGCACTAAGAAAAAATAAAGAACAATCCTTGGAATTCTCATTATACGCATTTGCATCACATACATTGTGATAGTGGAAAAAATTATAATTTCACTTGATGTTTGTCAAACGTCATATGAATATATTTTTGACAGGCATGTATTCTATTATTATGTTTTTTCTAGGATTTACAAAGAATATCTAACTGATTTGTACTTCTTGGAAAAGAGTTACGAGTTATTTTGACTGTTATTCTGTATGGAACTGAAGTTCAAAATCTCGTGTATCACCATTACAACTTGATATATTTAGTTTATATAAAAGCTATCTCTGCCCTCTGTACAACAGAATTTAAAACGATCGACAACTTTATGCGTATAGTTTTGTTGATGTTCCTCTTTATTTGAGCAGATTGTTAATCTTATATACATACATACATATATATGTGACACACACGCGTGTTTCGATTCTATTGAACCTGGATGTTTGTTTTACAAACACGCTTTCTGTTGTTGTTTTTTATTTAAGTATGAGCTCGTTTTGGAAAACTGTAAATATTTTGGGGTTCTTATAATTGCAAATTGCTTTCTGGTTGTTATAGAACACACCTTGTTTTAGTTTTAATATTCGTCTAACAAAAGACATCATGAATTGATTAAATGTTGACATCAATAAACTTTTTGTTGATGATAAAAGATGACTTGGAGTTAGTTTATTTAACGAAACTATATCACCGTGGAACTAATCTCTACATCAACGTAATTATCTATATAATAAGATTCCTCCTAAACCGCTGGTCGCACTGACTTTTAAATGGTACCAAAAAATTCACCCTACCCCTTGGGGAACATGTGAATTTCCCGAAAACCTCTTCTCCTAAACTGTTGGACTTACCAACTTCTAAATGGTACCAAATAAATCATTTTGGCCCTGAAGTTTTTACAACGGTAAAATGTTTCACCCAATCCCTTAGGGAACCCGGGTATTTTGCGAAAACACTTTTACGGGGTTTTCTCGAAAGCGGACCTCAAATGTGGCATTGATTTACATTAGATTTACATTAAATAAGTATGTCTACTAATTACCGTTCGTAACTTGGTTAAATACATTAAATTTGTATTAAAGCGCCCCTGTAAGTGTGGGCCATAGGCCCATGGGTTCGTTATTATAATCACAAATATCTCCTCTAGGTATTGATAATGAGTGATGGCTCATCCCATCAAATCTCATTTCTTTTGGACTTTTGTCTGATGATGTAGAAAAACTGACACATTTCATATATACTTTAGATAAGAATATTTTATCCTGATAATATACAGTATTGGCAGGTCAGAAGATATAGAAAAGTTGACACATGTCACATATACTTTAGATGAGAATATTTTATCCTGATAGTATACAGTATTGGGAGGTCAGAAGATATAGAAAAGTTGACACATGTCACATATACTTTAGATGAGAATATTTTATCCTGATAGTATACAGTATTGGCAGGTCAGAAGATATAGAAAAGTTGACACATTTCATATATACTTTAGATAAGAATATTTTATCCTGATAATATACAGTATTGGCAGGTCAGAAGATATAGAAAAGTTGACACATGTCACTATATACTTTAGATAAGAATATTTTATCCTGATAATATACAGTATTGGCAGGTCAAGAGATATAGAAAAGTTGACACAAGTCACATTTACTTTAGATGATAATATTTTATCCTGATAATATACAGTATTGGCAGGTCAGATGATATAGAAAAGTTGACACAAGTCACATTTACTTTAGATGAGAATATTTTATCCTGATAATATACAGTATTGGCAGGTCAGATGATATAGAAAAGTTGACACAAGTCACATTTACTTTAGATGAGAATATTTTATCCTGATAGTATACAGTGTTGGTAAGTCAGAAACTGTAGAAAAGTTGAAATGTTTAATGTTAACTTTAGATGAGAGTACTTTATCCTGATATTATATAGTATTGGCAAGTCAGAAGATGTAGAAAAGGTAACACCTTTGATATTAAGTTTAAATGAGAATATTTTATCCTGATAGTATATATCATTTGCATAATTTTCTAGATGTTAGATAAGAAATGAAGTTTTAGGATTAAAATTAAAACTTATTGTTGAGGGTAAATTAATTTAGCAACAAGATAATACCACTTTTTGGATAAAATTCCTTATTTCTAATTGTACTATTAAGTAGGGGAGACCGGGGCTAGTTGTTGCAGGGGCAAGTTGATACAGGGCCTCTAGCTCTTCTTGAGATTAATAGACGGCGATAGTTCATGGACCATCGAACACGTGTTGCGCAAGCTTTGTTTTAATGGCGGCATGAATAAGATCAGTCACGAAATAAAAAAGGTATGTACATTTTCTGTTTTTGCATACCTAAACTAAAAAAAAATTGTCTAGGAAATATCTATTTACCCTTTATATACTGTGTTTTGATACTGTTCTTATTAGTTGTAGACTTCGATAGTTAATACCTCTTAATATACGATAACATTGAGTTATGTTGTTTGATGATGAATTAGTATGGAGACATTGTTATACCCCATGTCGATATGGGGCATGTTGTTACAGCATGTAACAACATGCTCCAAGGTTGTAACAACATGCCCCAAAGTTCACCAAAAAGGTGTAAAGCAAGTGGGGGCGATAACCTAAGGTGAAAGAGGTACACTTGTG